GGGGGGAGGAGGGAACTAGAGTGAAGTAAGGAAAAGGTGTGGGGTGGGAGGATCAAATCCCACAAAAACAGGCTACATCATTGGAGTAAAGGAAGGGGATTGAAGAGGAGGTAGGAGAGACAGGAAAAGGAAGAAAATGTGGAATGGAAGTGACAAAATTATGCTATGTTCACATATAAATATACCATAGTGAATTCCAACGTATGTTTGTCTCTAAATCACTAGTTTAAAAATAATAAACAAATAGAAGGAAGAACAGTAGAATAGACAGGAGGAATATGGGGGGAAGAAGAGGGGAGGGAAAGAGGAAGCAAGTTATATTCCATGAACGTATGATTATTTTAATATGAACCCCACTATTATGCATGACTATAAAGCACTAATAGAAACATTTTAAAAATATTGCTAGAGCTACAAAAAACTTCCTTTTACAAAATATTTGATAAGATTATTTTAATGGATTGTTCAAGAAGGGAGAGAGGGACCACTGATAAGAAATAGTATATGGAAGTTATCAGCTTGGCTTCTTTATCTTTTGCTTGGTCAGAGGCTGGACTTATTTTTAGTTTCTCTGTTTACTTCAGGCAAACCCTCTTTTGTTTCTTGCCTGCCCACTTCTGCCTGTTTTCCCTTCACTCCCCTTTCTCTTTGGTTTTACTCATTTTCTTAGAAATATAACCTTTCCTGCTTCCCTTTTGACTTCTTTTCCATTTTGCAGGGGAATGTTCAACTGACAATTTTGCTAATCTTCTCTTGGGCCTCTCCTCCTCACACCTGAGTCTGGGTTGACCTTCCTTTTGCACATCTTTGTGGTGGGGAGGATATGTGCCAGATGTACACTACTGTGTGCCTAGATCCTTGGCAGTGCTGAGCATCTGGCAGAGGGTGTTCCTCCCTGTGTTTGAGCTGAGACCTCTCAAGGAGATATTTAAAGTCAATCTTGTGCTAAATCTTCACTTACCAGATTTAAATCATCATCATTATATTTTTTGCTTTCATCATTTTCAAGCATTTCAAACATGAAACTAGGTTTTTTACCTAGATGAATTAACATCCATACAAAGTTCAGGTTTGAGGCAGAGGGTCTTGCTGTGGTTTCCTTTCACATGTCTTCCACTAGAATCCCAGGTGGGTCCCTTCCCATTCTTTCCCCTATGCTTTTAGAAATTCTTTACAGATGCCCCCTCTTTGGGGGTTCTCTAACTCCTTGTGGAATATTTCTGAAGGGACTTACCAGACTCAGTGTTCATGGAATCTGGGTCAAATTTACCTTTTATTCCAAAGACCTTACAACTTTTGTTTTACTAATTTTATTATGCATAAATATTTTTGTTCTACATTTTATAAAAAAGTATGTTAATTTTAATTATCTAAATGTATAAGACATTTCTGCACTACTTTCCAGAGTGATCATATTATTTCATGTTTCCACAAATAAATTATGAAAATCCAGCCACTGCATGTGCACCCAAGAAATGTGGTATTGTCAGTTTTTTGAATTGTCATCTTTCTAAATTAATCTTTTCTTGGGTTTTAGTCTGCATTTCCCTAATGACTTATCTTTTTATGCACTAACTGGCTATTCATAATTGTTTTGTGTCTTACATTTTTATCATTTACTCTTTTCATTATTGATTAGAAGTTTAGTGCTCCATATAAGACCCTTGGTAAATATATTCATTGTAAGTATGTATTCTTTGTTAGTTTGCCAATTATTTTTATTATTTTTAGAGAATCTTTATGTCTACAGAAAAAGATCATGCAGAGTTTCCCTATACCTCTTCCTCCTAGCCTCACCCACACATAATTTCTTCTATTTTTGACATTTTTGATCTTCATAAAGGTGGGTTTTGGACTGATTGGTTTGCATTCAAAAGGCATATTCCTGGGATTCGTTTGCTATATCTAAGAGCCAGCCATGCCTGGGGAGGGACAGTATTTCCTAGGTCAGCAAGGTTTCTAGATGATAAAGAATCATAAAACACTGAAAGTAAAAACATGGTGAATACAGGAGCAAATTTACTACTAATTGGTGTGAAACTAGATGCTCTATTACTGAAGTTTTTGTCTAGTTTTCATATTATGGTAATGCTGGCCTCACAGAATGTGTTAGGAAGTAAGTGTTCACTCTGTTTCTAGTTCTGGAATCGATTGTAGAGAATATCACTCTCTGGGCCTGATGCCTTCTGTTTAGGAAGATTGTCCATTCTTGAGTCAGTGTGAATAGATACAGGTGTGGTCAGATTAACCATATCCTGGTTGATATTTTGCTAAAAATTGGCACACTGATCCATCAAATTTGGGGGCACAGAATTGTTCCTAATATTCCTTGATCATTCTGTCAATGTTCCTGGGCTCTGTAGCAATATCTCCATTCAATTCTGATATGAGTCATTCATGTGATCTCTCTCTCTCTCTCTCTCATTCTCTTTTTTCCTTAGCCTTTCTGGAAGTCTATTATTTTCATTGATCTCTTCAAATAACTGTGTTTTAGTTTTACTAATTTTCTTAAGGATCCCTCTTCTCTTTCCCTTTTTATATTAGTATCTGTGTCTTTCTTAATTTTTCTTTGCTTAGCTTGGTGAGAGGTTTATCAAATTTGTCAATATTTTCTTTTTTATCCATAAAATGTATGTATTTATTATTTGTTCTTTTTTATATGTAAAACAGTAGAGGGCATTTTGACATATTATATGTACATGGAGAATAACATCCTAATTAGGATCTCATTTTTGTGGTTGTACATGATGTGGAGTGTCACTGGTCGTGTATTCTTATATGAACATAGAAAAGTTATGTCCGACTCATTCTACTGTCTTTCATAATCCCATAACCCCTCTCTTCCTTCTATTCCCCTTTGTTTAATCCAATAAACTTCTATTGCCCCTCCCTTGTTTTGTGTTAGTATCCACATATCAGAGAGAACACTTGCCTTTGCTTTTTGGGATTGGCTTATTTTGTTTAACATGATAGCCTTTAGTTATATACATTTACCAGCAAATGGCATAGTTTTATTTTTATTTGTGGCTGAATAATATTCCATTGTGTATGTATACCACTTTTTCTTTATAAAAATATTCAGCATCTCTAGCCATTATAGAAATGCAAATTAAAATTACAGTGAGATTTCATCTCACTCCAGTGAGAATGGCAATTATCAAGAATACATGTAGCAATAAATTTTGACGAGGAAAGTGGGGAAAAAGGTACACTCAAACATTGTGGGGCTGCAAATTGGTGCAACTACTGTGGAAAGCAGAATGCAGTTCCCTTAGAAAACTTGTAATGGAAACAACACTTTTCCCGGTTTCCCACTCCTTGGTATATACCCCAAAGACTTAAAATCAGCATACTAGAGTGACACACCTGCATCAAAAAATTCATAATTTTGTTATAATCTTTTCAAAGAAAGATTATTTTCATTAGTTTTCTTCTACTCACTTTCTGTTCTCAATTGATATCTGATATCTTTTATGATTTTTTCTTGTGCTTTTTGATTTAATTTGTTCTTTCTTCATGAGTTTACTTAGTAAGAAGTATCAATTATTGATTTTAGATTTGCTTTCCCTACAGTGTGCATTCCATGTCATCAAT